AAGATAAGTTAGAATGATATAATTTAAGATCATCCACAATCGAGTTAATAAATAAAACTTATGAGTTTTCAACGAAACATTTCTTAATTAATTATGTAAGTATTAAACTTTCATGTAAATTTTATAATTTATTATTTAATATTTCCCCAAGCTCATTAAAGAATTACATATAATATTTTACCTATTAATAATCTAGTTTTTCAAAATTTTCTATATTAATAAAATTTAATTCCTTTTCTCCATTATCTTTTCCCAAAACTACTTTAAAAATTTAGGTTTTTGGTTTCTTTTAAATAAATTTATTTAAAAAATTAAAAAAATATTTATATATATATATTTACATTATTATTAAAAGATTAATTTTAAAAATCAATATATTATATTGTATTTATATAATCTTATATACTTAATATTTCCTTTTATGTAATTTATATTTCGTTATTATATTTATTTATATTATTATTAGATAATAAATCTTTAACTATCTCTTAACAATTATTTATTTCATAAATACATATTTTGACACTTTATATACTTTAATTAATTACAAATAAATAAATGGTTAAAACTATTTTTTTTTTTTTATTATTTATTTACTTATCTATTTATTAGAAATTTTAAAACAATATTTAGTTTAAAATTTCTTGTACTAATTTAATATAAAATCCGTTATTTAAATTATAAGAATTATTTAGAAAATAATATTTATTTTATCTTTAAAAAAAAATATAAAAATATTTAATATATTTTAATTTTTTTTGGAGAATAATAAATATATTTTTTATACATTTCTAAACCTAGATTAAAAATACAAATATTTTTATTTTTTCGAACAAAACTATTTACTAATGTTTAAATTTCTTTTTCGAAAAAAACTTATGATCTATTTTTTAATTATAAATATTTTATTTTTATATATTTCTATTTACGGACAATCTTTATCATATATATTATCAAATGTAAATATTTCATTAACATTTGATTAAAAATTATTTAATAATATTGTATTTTAATTTATTTTTGGAATTTTTTTTTCATTCTCAAAGACTTCAGTATTTTTATTTAATGTGTTAGTCTAAATTTAATTTGTTTAAGTTTTTTTTATTAGGCTAGCTACAAATTTAATTGTGATTTAATTCATTTTGTTATAAAAAATATTTAATTAAGTGTTAAATTATTTAAAAAATAAAAAATAAAAAAAATGTTATAAAATTTTATTAAAAAAATTAATTGCAAACCTATATATATTTATTTTTCTTAACTTTTATTATTATTTTAAATAAATAAAAAAAAAAAAAATGATAAATATCTTTTAAAAAAAATTGATTTATTAATTAATTCAAAATAATATTTAAAAATAATTTAACCAAAAAATATATTTATATTTATATATTTAATTTTAATTCTTTTTTATTTTTTTTATAATAGTTTATTTTTTAAATTTTATACAAAATAACAGTCATAAAAGTATGACTTATTTATCCTTATCTATAAATAAATATGATTAATAAAAAGCTTTAAATAATATACCAACTAAAGAAAAATAGAAAAAATTTTTAATAAAATTACATTTATATAAAGTTAAAAAAAATAAAATTGAGAAATAATATCCACATAAAAATCCTAACAAAATGCCAAAAATAAACTAAAAAATAATATTCTTAAATAAATAATTATCAAAAAAATACTAAAACAAACTTTTCTAATCATTTATCGATTAAAAATTATTATAAATATACTATTCATTGAATTAAAAATACTTCTCTTTTTTAAAATTAAACTGTCTAAATTTAGATTAAGTATCAACTTTTTATGAATTTAAAAGTAACCATTTATCTTCTCTTGAGTATAAATCGTTAACATTATCAAAGTAAGATCTTGATAATTAAAATTAAGAATGAAAAAGAACTCTTTAAAGTGCTATATCCTTATAAGAAATATTATAATAATAATTTAGTTTATCAAATCCAATTAAATTATTATTATTGTTGCTATTTATATTATTTTGATTATTATCATTAAAATTATTATTGTTTAAATTATTATTATTTTCATTCATATTAATCATTTCAATATTATTATTTGAAATTCTAACATCATTATTTATATTATAATTTTCTTGTATTTGAATATTTTAACTATTTTACTAGTTATTAAGTAATATACTATTTTACATGCTAATATATTTATCATCATTATTACATATTAACTTGTATTAACATTTTATTAATTCCTTTTAAATAATAGCCTAAATTATTATGTTTGGCTAAATTTTATAATCATAAATCAAATCAAAGTCTTTTAAGTATCTTCCCTAATAAATTAACCTTATTGCATTGCAATATGAAATCTCAGTGTTAAATAAAAACCGTTTAAATTTACAGATTTTCCATTTATATGTTTCTTCATATTCAATTGCTATTTTATCAGAATATTACATAATTTACATTATTATTTCGTAAATTTCTTTCTATTAATTATATTAATTTTTTACTGTTTAGTTTTATTTTTATATTTATTTAAAGTAATTTCGATTATTATTATTAATTTTTTATTCTTAAAAATCATCTTTTTCTTGAATATAAGAAGAATTTTTTAATATTTATTTGTTTAAATTATTTTATTATTTTACTTCTTCTTCTTCAAAAGCTTCAGATTCTCTTAATTATTAATTTTATTTATTCTTTTCGGTTTTAAAAGGATTAATTATTTTTATGAAATAATATTATTTATTTTCAATATTTTATTTTTAAAGTTTCTAATAATTTTATTACCATTCATTTAATTTTTGGAAGTTTTAATATTTTTTAATATTAACATTTTACTACAAAAAAATATTGTCGTTTTCTTATTATTAATTTGAAAAATTTAAATTTTCCTTTAAACAAGATAGCTTTTATTGACTCTATTAAGTTGTATTTTAAAATTAATTAATAGTATATTAGGTTTATGTATTAAATTAAAGTGTATTCATTATTTTATTATTTTATTTTTATTGAAAAAAAATTAAAATTTAAAAAACATAATTTTAAATGAAATTAATTTAATAAATAAAAAAAGTTCTTTATAAATTATAAATGTTATATAAATATATATATTTATATGTATAAAATAATATAATAAAAACAATTGATATTGATTAAATTTTTATATTAATTAATAACCGCATTCAAATATATAATAAAAAAAATGAGAAAAATTAATATTTAATAATAAATGTATATATTTTATTTATATATATTTTTAATATATATATATATATATATATATATTATATAAATTCATATATATTTATAATATATAAGCATAAATAATAATTAAAACTTTATTCAAATAATTCATTTTTTAACAATTAACTTTAATAATTTTAAAATAATTTATTATAGATAATTCAAAAATAATAAAATAAATGTATTATTCTTTATTTTATTGCTATAATGTATGAAGGATAATGGTATATTCACCTTAAATATGGATATGTATATCATTTTATCTAAACTACAATACCTATGTTAAAATAAGTAAATATATATATGTATAACGGAAGCAAACATTGTAATTGTCAATGGTTATGTATTTACTGATATTCTTATATGGAAAACGGATTTTTGAAAAGGCATGCGTGAAAACAATTGATAAATATATAAATGGATATTTGAAATTTATTAAATGATTTTTGAAAATGTTTTGGAAATATAATTATTATTACAATTAGTATTTTTATTTCTATATTTATTTTTGTAATTTTATGTATTTATCTTTTATGATGATAGGAAAAAGGTGTATGGATAGTTAGTTAGTGTGTCATAAGATTATTTGTGTACCATATAAAATATAAAAAATTAATATAAATTTTTTGAAAGAAACATGTTCTATTTTTAAAAATTAAGAAGAAAAAAATGAATTAAATCAATATGTTTTTTATCCTTGCATAATAAAATTTTAGACTCTGGAAAAAAAAAAAAAAAAAACGAGATTTTAGAAGATAAAAAACAGAAAATAAAAATTGATATAAATTATAAGAAATAAAATTTAATAGCGATGATAAAAGACTATTACTATAAGAAAAATCTGAAAAAAAGGAATCATAGTTAATGTGCACTTACGCAGATTTCTTTTTTAAATAAAAAAATGAAAAAAATAACATATGATATATAACGAAATTATTATTTAGAAATATATAAAAAGCTATATTTTATATAAATCCTATATAATTATATAGATAAAATAAATATAAATTATTAAAGGATATTAAAACAATAATTTGGATAGACCTGTTTATAATTTCTCATGTAAATGTTTAAAAATCAAATTCTCCATGTGAATAATAAGCCTAAAAAGTAGAATCATCAGCTATGAAATTTCGGTATCAAAATAAATTATACTAGAAACTATATAAAAGATTATATTAAATTCATACTAAAAAAATACAATTAAATTAAATATAATTAAATTTAATTTTATATGAGAAAAAAAAAAAATATAAATATATATAAGTAAAAAATAAGTACTAGTATATATATATATATATTTTCAATTAATTTATTTTGTAAATAATATATTTTTCATCCTATTATCGGTATTTATATTTATAAAATTATTATTTTTTTAAAAATTTCTAATAACCTATTTTTAATTAAATTTGTAATATATATTTTTAAATTAAATAATACTATTGATTTAAAACTAGAACCAATTTTTTTCAAATAAAAATATATAAAAAATATAAAAATAAAATATAATAACATATAATAAAGTATATTTAATAGAACTTAAAAAAATAATTTTATTATTAAAAAAAAAATGTTATATGTATTTAATGTATAATTAAAGAAAAATTTTAAAGAAAATATTATAAAGAAAAAATTAAAAAATAAAATATTATTAAAAAAATCACAGAAATTAATTTATTATATATATAATAAATATATATGTACATAAAAATAAAATAAAATTAAATAAAATTAATAAATAAATATATTTTATATAAATAACTAAAAAAAACAAAATGAGTAGTAATAGCCCAAAAGTTGAAAAATCTACTTCTTAATTTAATGGAAACGGAAATGAAAATTTTTTGTTTTTAAGTTAAAAAAAAGCTCATAGAAAAATTAAACTTGCTGAATGTTAATAATCTAATAATCCTATATCATCAAATTAATTTGAATCAGAAGGTATATATAAATACATATCAATATATATTTTTTTTAATATATATGTATATCTATTTTAAATATAGAATTAAATAAGAATAATAACATTATTGATATTAATAACGATAATACTGATGATAATAATAAAAAAAACGTTTTTTAGAAGTTTTTTTCTTAAATTATTGAAAAATATTCTAAATTAAGCCCTTAAAATAAAAAAATATTATTTTTAACTTCTGGAGTATTTATTATTATCTTTATAATCCTTATTGGTTTAGGTATAGGAGGTGTTTTATCTTCTTCATCTTCTTCTTCATCTTCTCACGATCAACTTAAATATATTAAACCAAATGATGCAATCAAAGTTCCTTAGTCATTTTCTAAATTTGAAAAGCTAATTAATGTAATATAATTAATATAAATTTTAATTAATAAAAAAAAAGTCTGGTCAAGAATCTAATATAGTATAAATTATACACGTCCCAAAATCCTAAAAAAATTACGAATACAAATTAGTAAATGATTAAACGACAATATCAGGAGACAATAAAACTTAAAAAGAACGCCAGGTTATAACACATACATTTGCCCTACTTTGTGCTGGAGTAGACAATGAAGCATTCGACATGTATTTGTATTTCAAAAATACTGTAAAAGAGGAAAATGGAGTAGTTACTTCTAAATTAACAGGTTTTCCAGATATGATTGAAAAGGAAAAAACTGCCACAAGAAATATGGTTGCATAATAAAATACTCAATAGTCCTAAGATTAATAAGCTTCTTAATAATAGAATGACGAATATGGGCCTTTAACAGCTGAAGAAATCTCTATTTTGTCAAGTAAAGGTATTACAGAAACTTAGTATATTAGAAGTAGATATCCTATAATTAGATTTAAGATTAGTAAATAAGGAAAACCTTTTAAATTTTTCATTCCATTAAATTTAAGATATGATCTGTAAAAAATCTACATGAATATAATTGAATAATTAGCACCTTTAGTATCTTCTGATATATATAATGTAGTAAAAGATGACCCAGAAACAGGCAAAAAGAGAATTTTGAAAGAAAGATCTAAAGAATATTCCTACAGAAGTTTAAATGATGAAATTATTAAACCAAAATTAGAAGCCACTATTAAAGAAAATGGAGAAAATGTACTCACATCAGAAGAAACTGAAGAAAAAGTCGGAAAGACAAACACTGTTTCTACATCTATTATTGTTAATGGAAGTTTATTGGAAAGTAAATAAACTACTACTTTTATTATTACAGATGATTCCGTATAAATATATATACATATATATGTTTATTTAAATATTTTTTTAGGCAAAAAATGGTGGATAAACACCATTGTTTAACTCAATAGAATAAAAAGCTGAAGTAATAATAAAATTCATTTCATAAGATGATGCTATAGATGATAAATTATATAACTAAGTCACTTTTTATTAATAATCAATGAGTGTATTACAATTAAGTTACGATGATGCTTTTTTATTAAATAAATCAAAAAATACTGCTACTCCAGCAGATTCTGAAACTTAAAGACTTTTAAATGAATAAAAAGCTGAAGATGAAAAGCCAGCTTTAGAAAAAGACTAACCTTAATAACCCCCTAAACCTATGGGAGAAGTAATTGATAAGCCTATTTTTAGATAGAAATTTGCTTCTGTTGAATTCGGAGCTAATATTAAAAGTGAATGTATTGAATCTGGTTTTATAGCATCTACTGATGTATGTACTGTAGGTATTTATGGATATTTTGATGGATAATTAACTAAAATTATTGAAAGATAAAGTATATATATATTATTATTTTATTTTAAAAATAAAAATAAATAAATAAAAAAAAAAATTATAGCAAGAATTAATGTATCTAAACTATTGAAATATTATTAATATGTATAACATGCTTTAAGTGGAAAAGTAGGCTCTTTAGTAGATAATATATAGGGAAGAGTTGATGAAATTTTTATATCATTAAATGCTATAATTGATAAAGCTGAACAGCTTCTAGATATTAAATAAAATCCTATTTTAAAAGAAATTGTTCCTTTTATAGATTAAGATTAATTGAATATTATGGCTAAAATTACTAACGTGGAGACATTAATTAATTCAGTAAAAAAATATAATTAAAAAAAAAATATTTATATTTATTTAATTAAAAAAAGTAAATAAAAAATATAAATAAAATTGTTTCTGATCCATTAAGCTTTTTCAAAGATAAGATTTTATCCTTTTTATAAAAAAAATAAATCAGTATAGAAAGTTAAGTAACCAATTTAAAGAACTTCTATAATGACAAACTCAAAAAAATCTACGATTATATAGTGAAATACAAATTAACAGGTATCTCTTAATAGATATAAAATCAAATAAAGATATTTTTATCAAACTATGAATCCATATTATTTTAACTAATAGAAGAACCTGCTAAAAAACTTCTCGATGAAGTCTAAAAATTCTTACTTTAAAAAGGTAATGAATTATTTTCTAAAGTATCCGAAGTAGATAAACTTGTATCTTCCAAAACAGAAAGCATAGTCTAATAGTCAATGGATAAAGTCAAAGCTACTGCAGAAGAAATTAAAAAAAAATCATAAATTCCAAATTAAATAAAAAAGATGTTAAGTAGTTAGTTCATATTAGATTATTTACGTGAATTTATAAAAAAAGCAATTTAAAAAATAACTAGTCAATTTGACATAACTAAAATGCTTACTGAAGGTCTAAAATAATTTTTATAAGTCGGAAAAAATAAAATTCTTATGGAAATGGAAAATATAAAAACTACAGTCAATGAAAAAGCTGAAAAAGCAAACAATGAAGAAATTTAAGTTCTTTTTGAGGAAATAAATAATGTAGTAAGTTTCTCAACTGACCTTTATTCTGGACTTAAAGAGTTAAAAAATGACGTTAATTAAATAATATAATCCTTAAAGAAAATATAAGGAACCGAAGTGATTGGTATGGTTAAAGGTCTAACTTAATAAGTAGTTGATTTGCCCAAAGAAATCCTCGGAAAGCTAAAAGAATAAGGAAAAGAAGTTTTAAATAAATTAAAATCATTAGGAGGAAAAATAAAAGAAAATTTAATAGATTGGAAAAATGAAATATTTTAAATTTCGAAGTCTTTATTAAAAAACATAAAAGGAATATACGATGATATCAGAGACTTTTTTAAAAAACCATAATTCCCTAAAAACGACGAAAATTATTACAAAGAACCAATATTTAGTGAAGTGAAGGATTTAGTCGGAAGAATAAAAGGTGTATTCACTGATACAAAATTTACAAGAGTGACTGCCATTTATGAAAGATTTAAAACTTTCCCTTAAAGGTTTTTTGATTTTGTTGCCTAACTTAAAGAATTCGGAATGAACTAATTTAAATACTGGGATTAACTTAAACTGTCAATAAGCAATGTTAAAGACGAAAGTAATCTTTTATGGATAAATATCAAATAAAGTGCATTTAAAATAAGAGATTATTTCAAATCGTTTTATTAAAAAGTACTTTCTCTAACTGGTTATGGTTCTAAAGGGCGACTATTAAACGATGAAATTCCGGTAGCAGATTTTTCAGGGAAAGGGAATGACGATTTACCAGACTTATAAGGACTTTAAACTGAGTTTGGTGATTCATTCCAATAAGCATTAGCTTCAGCTTAAGATTTGGTAAAAGATGGGATCGGTAAAGCACAAGAATATGTGAATGATTTCAAAGAATAAGTCGTTTAACAAGCTGATACAACGGGTACTTCTTACAAAGAATTGATAGCATAACTTATAAAGAAATTTAATATTGAAAAATCTTTCCCATTCCCAAATTATACATAAAAAGTGGAATATAATTTCAATTACAAAATTAAAATCGGATTGGAATTTTAAATAACCCTTTATGCATAATGGTAATTAGGTTTCAATTTCAAAGTTTCTGTAAAAAACGCAATTTTAGACCTGACAGCAGGTGCAAACACAAGAGTAGAAGTAAAAGGAAGTATTAAATTAGACTGCGGATATGGATAAGTAGGAGGTTCTGCAGAAGGTGTATTATTAGATACTTCTATTACTTTTGGTTTAAGTTTAAGACCTTTGGAAAAATTTAAAGGTAGTTTATATATAGATGGATATTTTAATGCATATGATTTCACTTTAAATGCTTATTTAACTATTTTGAATTAAAAAGAAAGCGTGAATTGCCAAGAAAAAAGACTTTTGGCAAAAGAAACAGCTAAAAAAGCTGTAGTTGATTAAAAAAACAAAAATACAGAAAAATCATTGGTAAAAAGTTCAATTTAAAATATAGTTAATAGTAAAGCACCACCAATTGTAAAAAAAGTCGTTGGCAAAGAAGATCCATGTAAAACAGTTATAAATAGCGAGCCATAAAAAACTAATTTACTTGGACCTATTGAATTAAAAGGAAAAGTATATAAAGAAAGAATTTATGAAGTAAGTTGGTGATATGTTAGATTAATCATATATATATATAAAAAATATATATAAAAAAAAATAAGATATGTTTTTTTTTAATAAATATAATTCTTAAAAAATTATAAATATATAATTAAAAGAAATAAAAAAAATATTTATTTAAATTAAAAAATTTAATTAAAAAAATATATAATATTTTTTTAAATCAAATATTAAAAAAATAAAAAATATGGTATAAATTATTAATATATATATATATAAAATAAATATAAATATATATTTATATATATATATATTATATTTATTATATATATATTTTTATAAAAATATTTATATATATATTTTATTTAAAAAATATAAAAATTTTATTTATATATACATATTTTGTTATATATATTTAATTATTTTTTCATTTATTTTATATTTTTATATTTAATCATAAATTTATTTTAGAAATAAAATCTTTATTTATTTATATTTATTATAATTTTATTTTATTTTTTATTAATTAATATATATATAAATAATGTATTTTTTTTAATTATAAATTTATATTTCATATAATAATATTTATTTAATATTTTTAAAATTTTTTAATTTTTATAATTTCAATATTAATTTAATATATATATAATTTTTTTTTATTTATATTTTTATATATAATTAATTTACATTAATTTATATTATTATTTACGTTTAATTTTTTCATATGAATATATAGTTGTTTTATTATTTATATAAAATCTTAAGTCTATAATTTAGTGTTTACTATATTTATATAAACTATATTTTTTTTATACAATTTATATATAGTTTAAAATGGTATTCACCATTAATTAGAAGATGACATATAAATTACCAACAATTTCTAGCAGTTACAACTATTATTCAACATAATCACTTCGTTTTAATTGTTAATTTTTATTATAATAATATTTTGAAAATCTTATTGATTCAGATTATAAAAAATATTTTTACTTATTAATAGTTTAAAATATATCAGTAATCTAAAAACAAATTTATAAAATTTAAAACAAAGACACTCACAGAAGACATAAATGTAAAATTATATATCTCAAATAAAAAATTTTATATAGGATTACTGCATGCAAGTAATACAAATTTAATATATATAATAATAATAATAATAATAATAATAATAATAATAATAATAATAATAATAATAATAATACTTTTTATAATAATAATATTAATATTAATTAATTTATTAATAATAATATTAATAAGAATAATTATTTTATTAATAATAAATATTTTATATGAAAATTATTTATTTATTTTTATAAAAATAATAATACTAATAATATTATTAATATAATATAAATAATAATAACCTTTACTATAATAGAAACAATTATAGAAAAATTGATTTTTATTTTATTATAAGTTTATTTATTTAAATTATTAACTTTTTTTTTTATATAAATAAAAAAATATGCTTATTTAAATATTAATATTATTAATAATATCTTTTATTAAATAATGTATAAATACTTTTAATAATTTTTACATAATAATAACTTTTTTATATTAAATTAATATTTATAATATTTAAATTATTTAATTATATAAATCTTTTTTATAATTTATAAAAAATAATATAAATATTATTTTTAAATAAATAATATTTTATACATCGTAATAATAATTCCTTTTATGATAATTTATTTTAATAGAATATTGTTATGTATATTCTAAAAAGTTTGTAACATTCATTTTATTAATTTTTTTTAGCTTATATTATTCTTATTAATTAAAATTTAATTTTTTTTTATAAAATTTAAATTATAATTTAGATATATATTTAATCTCAGAATAAAATTTTTACTCATATTTTTTATAATTTACAGTATTTATAAAATTTTTTAATAATTTATTTTATTTTTTAAAAATATTTAAATTTATTATTAAATTAATATTTATTTTTATATTTAATAATAATAATGTTTTTATTTCAAAGATTTTTGTATTTTTTTATTCTTTTTACAAAACCTAAAATTTAATATTTAAAAAGACAATCAGGCTAATTAATATAAATATAATAAAACCCTTAAGATAAATAGTTATACATTAATATACTATTATATTAAAATTAAAAAACATATAAATTGCTAATTGATATAAATAGTCCTTATACAATTATACAAGACAAAAGTATATATTAATAAATAAATTAAACAAATTCTGGTAATTTGGAATTTAACAACATAATTTTTGATTACAAAGTCCTAAATTAAACAAATATAAATATAAAAAGCTCAGATCATGTATATTAAACAGATATATTATTTACAAAAATAAATATTTTAAAAAATTTTGGAGTTTCCTATAGCAAATAATATAAAGGAATTTTGGGCTTTAATATGTAAAAAAAGGGAATATAGAAAGTTTCTAAAGATGCAAACATTATTAAGAATATTTTTTATAAAAATAATATTAAAAACTTTATTTATTCTCTATATATTAATAATTAAAGCACTTCTTATATTATTATAGGAGGATATGATTTTAATTTATTTATATAAAAGCAATTTGATAATATCAAGTGTATATAAAATCATGGATGGACATTAAAAATTTAAAAGCTTTAAATAAATGAGAAATCAACTAAAAACCAATAAATAAATACTTAAATTTCTACATTACATAATTACATATAAATAAATTAAAATATTCTCGAATATATTAAATAATAATTTAATTTGGAAAAAATAATATTTCTTTATGAGATTGATTAAAATAACTATTTATTAATAAATTATGATTATTAATATGGTGTATAATAGTTTCCTTCAATAAATTTATATTATGATGAGGATAAATATATTAGTTTAAGTTAAAATATATATGTTTAATAATGCTTATTATATGTAAGGTTTAAGCTTTTTAAATGCAAAACTAATATAAAAATTTCTAAAAAAGAACAAGATAATTTAATTATTTTGGGTATTCCTTTTTTAGAAAATAATTATACTTTTTATAAATTATAAAGCCATCATTTTGGATTTGGATTAGTTAATTATGTAAATAATTTTAAATAACAATATTTTTTTGGTTTTATTTATTTATTGTAATAATATTTTTGATTGCTATATTTTCAATTATTATTGGAATATTTTATAAAGAGTCTTTAAGTGAAATTATCTTTTTAATAAAAAATATTATAATATATTTAGTTTTTAGAGATCAAAATGCAAGATTAAACTTATTAAATTATGTAGAAAATTGAATAAATGATAAAATTATAATAATATATATGTATATTATTTATTATAAAATTCGTACAAACTAAATATTAAATTAATTAATTTATTTATATACAATAAATACATTATTTATTGGTTGATATATAATAAAAAAAAATGTTTTTCAATTTTTAATAATATAATGTAATTATAATATATTAATATTTAAATATTTCGTAATAAATAATATTAAGATTTAATATATTCTATTCATAACAGATATAAAATTATTATATTAGTATTTTAAAATGTAAGAATATAAAAGTATAAAATATTATTTGTAAAGATTATAAATAATTTATTTTAAAAAACATTTGATTAATAACTAATTAGAAAATACATATTTCTTATTAATTCTAAATAATTAAAATTATATTTAAGTAGTTTTTAAAAAATATAAAATATTTAATTTATATAAAATTTATTTATGATTAAAATTAACAAATAATAAATAATTATGAATTTTTAAAAAATCAAAAAAAATAAGTATTTTAAAATAATTTTTAAAAGTAATTAAAAAAATAAATTGGAAGAATATTAATTAGTGAATTAATATAATAAAAATAAAAAGGATTTAAGTTAAAATAATAAAAAAAAAATTTAAAAAAGAAAAAATAAAAATAATAAAATATT